CTAGCGTTTATTGTTTATTCTGTTGGTCTTTATTTTTTTTTTTACGTTATTTATTATTATTTTTTAGGTTAGTGTTATCCGCGGGCCAATTAAAACGCGTGTTAAACGAGCCGATGCGGACACCACAATATAATATATTATTATTATTATTATTATTATTACCCGTGTATTATTGTAATTACGGTGGCTCGGGCAAACGCGTATCGCGCCTGTCCGTTATTATTTTTATTGTAATATTAATATAATTTATATAATATTATATCAGTAAACAATTTCGAACAAATGAGACGCATCGCGAGCTTGTTTTTTTTTTCAAGGCTCGTTTTCTCGCCTTCGCTCGGCCCACGTTTTATTATTGTCGCGGGACCCCGACCCGCGTATGCTAATTTTAACCTTTTGGGCGCACGTCGTTTTCAATGTGTGTTCGTGCTCCGTCGCACCGATATCGTTTATTCCGAGTTCGCGGCAGTCTGTCAATAATTGTTATAATAATTATTAATGTATGCGTTACTTGGGTCGGGTGGGTGGGATTGATCGCACCCGAACCAGGGCGAAATCCAAAAGTTCAAACGCTGTAGAGACCTCGTAATGAGTTCCGGGTTTAAAAAAATTGTTATCTATTGTTATCTGTCGAATTCTCGGCACTGACCGCTCCCAATCCCCGAATTCCCCGGTCCACCCATTAATAGAGTCCACTCGGTAGTCTGTGGAGTAGTTATTTATAAGTTATAATAATAATAATAATGTAGGATATTTTTATAATATTTTATTGACGAATCGACGATTTTACGAGTGATGCAAAGTTGTTATTGTCCAACCAGTTGGCCTATAGGACCGTTGGTGAGGACGTTTATAAGTAATAAGTATATTATACATGTACATTTATCATTATCAATCCTAACAACATTGGAACATTAAGGGTCATCAATATGACAATGTGTACTAAAAGCTATAAATGTATCGCTGATTTATGACTGGTGTGTGTATGTTTGCGTATGTGATTGTTATATTGTGTGTTAACCTTCTGATAATTTATTCTCTACTTTACTTTCGTAATTTACATAATAATATAAGTATCTAATATAATTCCAAGTTCCATAATTTTATGATACGACTTATTTTTAATGAATTGCAACTGAGTGTGTGAACGATCGGTGTCAAGACTGTGTGTACTTGGATTAATAATAATTAATATTGGGAAACTCCGGTTATTTTTTTTTTTTTTTTTTTTTTTATTGAACAAAAAAATGTTATTTACAATCTATAATTACATGTATTACAATAAGTAAATGGGATGGGGATGATTAGCGGGAGGGGGAAGTCACCCAGTGGTTATTTAAAAACAAAAACTATTCGTGGGTGTATTTTCTTGGAAAAAAATGTCTGTTATGAAAACGGCAAAAACACAGTGGTAGTATTATAGCTGTATTATGATATAGGTTCTACCCACGTATCTAGCCTTGATAATCTATGTTTAATCAGTAGTTTTTTTATTCGTATTTCAGCTTATGATAGGTACGTATAAACGCTTTGGAATGCAACTGTGCGGCGTAATCAAAATTTTCTGAGCGCCATTCGCGCCGATTCGCTATATTATTATACTTTACGTGTGCAATAATTTCGCGAAGTCGATATTTATTTTCGAAACCGTATTTATATGCAATGGACAATAACTAAACTCGCCATTCTCCCTAATCACTTCTTTATGTCTACGTTTTTTCGCTGCGATGAATGTCCAAATTTCGGTCCACCTTTGTTGCGCGGCTGCTTTATTTACATTTTTTTTTTTGCTCTGCACACCGGTGTACTCGACGTTTGAGTAAAGGTGATGACGCTTTGGTTTTGAATCGCATTTCGTATTAAAGCCGAACGGACGTCGCACTGCGTACTACCCACCATAGCCACCACCTACCCCAATAAATGGTCGAAAACGGTGATCGCAAGTCCACCGCCACACACGCGATCTGAATTCTGACCTACGATATTATATACATATTAATATTATTGTTATTATTTTCGTAGTCGTGCACACTCAGCCGTCCACGTGACTCACCCGGCGCGTTGTTGCGTGTGTGTATAATTTATTACGTTCGTATCGTCGACCCCTACCGCGTGGAAAAAAAAATACCAAAGGGGATCGAAATGCAGTGTTGCCGACTGCGGCAGTCGGGCTGTCTTAAGCTACGATTTCCCTGCAGAGTCAAACAGTGGAACAGACGCCGACCTACGTCCAGACCGGCAGTGACTCTAAAACGTACCAAAAGACGCGGAGAGTGATGGACGGTAGTAAGGTGAAAATTTGTAAATTTTTAAAAATTGCCGTCAAAACGTGGCTTTCGTACGATTAGCAGTCGTGGTGGACGTCGGAGGCAATACCGGATTGCATTTTTTTTCTCCAAACTTGTGAGGGCCGTGCCAGCTGTTGTGTGCATATCCGGTTCCTCGTCGTCGACTTGGTTATTATTTCAATGCGCCACACAAGAGATTGCCGCCGGTGCACTGCTGCAGCCCGTCACACTGGTTGGGTTGGTTGGGCTAGGTTATGTTTTTGTGTTACATTATTATTATTATTATTATGAACAGCGGCGGGTCCCGTATTGCGATTGGACGAAACCGTAGGGTTCTTTTATTTTTAAACCCATATTTTTTTACCGTGTGAAGCCCACACAAGTCTTTTTGGCTGTCGTCATTAAACGACCGCGACGACGACCGCCGTTCGGTGGTTGCAGTGGCATATTTTTTTCCGTAACAATATGCATGTGTGCTGCTGCTACTGTTGCCTCTTCTACCCTGCCCGCTGCAGCGCCACAGCGCTCAATATAATAATATATTATCATTACAATATTATACGCTTCGTACACGAACGAGAAAACGACCACGTCGACGGCTGCAACGTTTGTAATAACCTTCGTTGTGTTCTTGTGCACCCGTCCGGGGCTACTCTTTAGAAATTTCATTTCAAATTTCGACGTTTGTCGATGAGGTAGTATCTTTATATTCCCGGGACACGCCAATGATGTGTACGTCGTCCTTGAAACGCCGCTCAACAGATTACCAAAACGTGTACATCCATGAACTTACGACACTTACGGTAAACACGTAATATTACACGTTTCGATTGGGCAATCGGACGTCTCGCGTCTCTCGAGTGAGAAATGTTCCAAAAAGGCTTCACCTCTCTTCCGATCGATGAAAATATAATATAATATTACCAGCTCGATAATTGTGTGTGCGGTGTAAAACGTATATCGCTCGGCGGCGGCGCGCACTTCAAAATCAATATTAACGAGAGAATCGTTTGACTGACGGACTGTAATAATACAATATTCCATGTTATAACCGTACCCGTACAACTTACTGTGTACTTATATAATATTATCATGTTCTACATTTATGATAATAATACGTTCGGCGCTGACCACACCCGTTCGTCTATACAGTGTGCGTCGTTAGCGAGACGTCTTGGCTCTCCGTTTCGAATAGAAAACGAATTTTTAATAGGTAACTGTGTACGCAATTAATATACAACATTTTTGCGTCGCGCATTGTTCGGAAATTGAAAATTTCATTAAATGTCGAACTGCATAATGTCATAGGTACGTGTACAAACGTTATAACGAAAAATATTGACGCGGAGTAATATAGTTGCAGACAGCAGTGCTACAGTAGTGTATATTGTGTCAGTGTAGTCGCGTGCGGTAAAACGTTTTGCGTTTCAAATAAATCAAGGATTTAATTTTTATCCTATTTACGTATTAATTGATATAAATCTGTTTACGATTCGTACGTCTCGATTACCTATGCGAAAAAATAATAATTCTCGACGATAATCATTATTATTATTATTATTGTAAATTATTCTTACGAAATGTTGGCGTGATTGAAAAACAAACGATAGCCAAATGAATGACGACGGGGCTTATGGCCTGTGGTAATTCAATACACGATAATGTCGTCAACGCACAAAATATTACGTTAGTTTTTTAATTCTCTCGTTGAAAACTACCGACTAAACACACTCAGTTTTTCCCAGAGTACATATTATTATTATTATTGTAATAGATAGAGTGGTAGGGTTCGGTCCGTCGCGCGTCGCCGCCGCCCGTGGCTATTATAATGTTATTATTAAATTAATTTTTTCCATAATAATGTTATAGGTATAATATTATACTTTTATTGCGTAACGATTATTTTTTTTTCATCGTAATTTTGCATTAACGCGAGTGTGAGCGAGAGACCGACCGACCGACCGACCGACCGACCGATGACCTACAACCGTTCCGAGAGGAATCGACGACTACACCGCGGACGATGAAAATCGCTGTGTCGTCCACATCGCGGTGTTGTGTGTGGTGCGAGTTTTATATTTTTACGACGTTAATAATAAAACGCCGAATCGACGATATACCGAAACCTCGACCAGGAGGTTGACGTGTCGTGGTCGCAGTCGAGCACCAGAGGTGTGAATCATGCGATTATTGAACGTTACTAACGTAATAATATTATTATGTTATACCGATATCGGCGGCTACGATAATTTATAAAAAAACCTCCGATCATGAGGGTGAGGGGGGGGGGGGGTTGTGTCAGCCGCGCGTGGCGTCTGATAATAATTATAATAATAAAAGACTAGTGCCGCCGGCGCCGCCGCCGTATGTTTCTCGTCGTCTTCCTCCTACTCCCAATACGATACCGTGAAAACGAAAACACACGTCCGGCGGCGGTCGTGCACCTGACAACGCGCTGTCCGTTGGCCTAGGTTAAGGCCTCTTCCTTTTCCCCCCGGCCCACCATTTCTCTATGATATTATTGTTATTTTTCATTCCGATAATCGTCGACTACCGCGCGCGCTTGTGTGTGCAAGTCATCGCGTGGCGCGCACGTTTTTTTGTCGCGTTTCGTTATCTCGTCATTATTACAATTTTTTTAACCACGATATTAATTATTGTAATATAATAATAATATTATGTAATAATTTTGTACCGTTTTTTGTCTCGCAGGCAGTCGTCCATGAATGGCAATGGGATATTTTGCCGCCGTCTGGACTTCAGCACATTCAACCGGCTACCGCGGCACATGCTCAACTCCTATCACGTAAAGGTAACGTACTCGTGTATGACCATTATAATGATTCGTCGACATTTTTATAATATAATATTTATATTAATAATTGAGCGCACGGGGGGAGAGTGCACCCAAATTGTTTGTCCGCCGTCCGTTCGTTGTAATATCGTCGTCGTTGTTCATGTGTTTCCGTTGATGAACCGTTTCCGGTGCGCACCGGTTTCTTTTCCTCCCGGCGACCGAAAACGCTCACCAAACCACTTGACGGATCGATTTTCATCGACAAGTCCGCCACAAATCAAATATCAATCATTATCATCCTATATGCAACAGTTATTATTAATTAATTATATATTATTATACTGCGGTGTTTTTTTTCAGTCTGTCTAGTATATAGTTTTTCTATTTGCATTTAAAAGCAAATCGAAATATTATTCAGATCGGTCCGTGGGTTTGTAGTTTTAGTTTTTTACTATAATCGGCCAACTCTGTCCGGCTAGCCGGTTAGGTGAATAGAATATTAATAATATCGGTCGTAAGGAACAATGGCATAATAACAAAAACAACAACACGCGAGTGCTTACCGTTCGGCGTTCACATCCATTTTATTTATTTTTTTCCTAAACACACCACATCTTACCGCCGCCACCTACTCGACAACAAATTGATAAAAAATTTACCCAAGGTTGTGTGTATTTATAGAATAATTTATTTAAGTACACGTAATCCTCTGCACAGGATGTATGTAAAGATTGTTTTGTTTTTGACATTTCCTGCCTTGCGGCTGCGTCGTCCATTATGGTACCAACGGTAATACAATTTCAGTTAAGGACTAGCAATTATTATTGATCCGATTACTTTTAGTATTTAAAAACAATATTTAATTCAACATTTTCAAAGCGATATCGCAGTAAATATATTAATAAATATTTGTTTTGACTCGGTGATTTTTGTTATAATATTATGTACCCAATACCTATATTTATATTTTATACAATATGCACAATGATTATCAGTTTAAAATTAAATTACTCAGCTGACAATTTTGATTTCCGATTGTAGACAGTCTCCTTGGTTATTTATACTTTTCAATGATTATCACATACATTAATTTTTCTTTAAGTCAATTAATATTCGGGCCGTGTAGTACGACAGTTATTATGTACAATTGTTATGCAATATTATCGTACATTATTTTTTAGTGATTCATTGATACATATAGTTAGGTGTGCAAATTAAATCATTATGTTTTGCGATAAGTTTTCATTTTATATTTCAACGGAACTGGTTGTTATTTAATGTTTTTTTTATACTATTTAGTATTTATCAAATGCTGATGATAACAGTTTTATAGAGTAAATTAATTTAATAAATACACAATTTTCGCTGCGAATAATTTTGAATTAAAATATAATTTTTTAATATTTCCGACACATTTATAAAATTGCTTAATTAATGTCTACTCTCAACAGCGTTCAATATATTTTTGCTTGATTTAATAATAAATATTAAATGACCTTAATATGTAGATTTACTTTCCATTCGGTCGAGGACATGCGTATGTTATAAGTTGCCATAATAAGAGTTAACACTAACCAATTTCGTTTTGAGATTATTGAGACACGAATATCAATTAATTGGTTTTTAACGAAACAATGGAATTCGCCCGTTAATACGTTATTATTTTTATTCACTATAACGTTTTTATTATGGTTTTCTATCGCTTTTGAAATATTAAATTTTCGAGTTTAGTGTCCCGCAGCAATGACTCTTTAAGTACCTATGCTTTTAATTGGTCAACTTTATTGTTCTATTTAGACTGGTAGTTTTATTATTTAAACACGTCTCTAATTGGGTGACGCTAGTTTCGTGTTTTGGACGGTGTTGGCGGCGGCTGTCCCTGGTGTCTGTTAAGTCTACAAAATTATCATAAAAAATTTCAATCATGACTTTTCCTTTCGTTGTTATCTCAATCCCCGACGCGTGCAGTGTCTTGTGTTCGAGGTTTAACGTAGGCACCCTATATTATAATACATAGTAATCGAACAGATTTCAGTGAAAGTAGTTGGTTTGGTGCGAAATTGGAGCGACGTTGTGTATGCGACAATATCAAACTAAATGTATGATATTATATTGATTTAATATTGACAGATATCTCTCGTATGCATTGTACGTTGTCGGGCTACCGGGACCGAATTAGATTTCGACAAAATATCATGTCGTTTCGATTGCATAAAATTGTAATAATAGATATGAGACTACAATATTAATATTAATATTAGTGTACTATTTTATTGATATCACAACCGTATACGCATCGACGGCAGCGTGCTTGTGTGTGCGTGTGTATTATGTGCCAAACGAGAACACTACGAAGGTCAATAATAATATTATAAGCCTCTCCCATGGTGTTTGTGTGCGTGTGTGAGTGCGTTTGTCTAAATTAACGACAACGTTATGATAATAATATGATATTATTATTACATTACATTACATTTACAAATTTTGTATTGTTTTGGTGGTGGATATGTGTCAGGATATCGTATTGTCGCACATACAAAATAAAAATACATCGAATTTATACTTTTATACCATGTGAGCACCGCGTTCACAGAACGATATTTTTTTTGACACGAATTTAAATATAATCTGCACAATAATATATTGTATTTCGTTTCGTTAATATTGGTGTTTTCTTTAGTCGTCGTAAGGCAGAACCTCCGCTATCGTTTCGTGATCGATATGTCCGGAAAATCAAACGTATTTTTACTCGGTTTTAGTCGTCATGCTCGGGAAGTAAACCGAGCGCTCGTACGCCGAATTTTTTTCGGGGTTTTACCGGTCCTCGAGCGTTTTTATTTTCGGGACTGGGCCGGGCGGCGCCGGCGTGTGTCGCGCCGTCGGTCGAGTGTGCGCGCTCCGTTTTCGGCGGACGAACCGACGCCCAGTCGGGCGTGTTTAGGGTACCGCCCGCCGGCCCCCCCACGTTCGCCCGGAGTTGCGTGCTGGGCGCCCAAAGTTCTCGCGCCTGCCAGCCCGCCCGCCCGACCACACCAACCGCGAAAAGTGCCCATCCCTCTCGCCCGCACCCAAATACTCCCTCGCCCGAACCACTCTGTGACCCTCTTCAACACCGATTAAGAATTTTTTTTTTAAATCCGTTCAATTTTTTGTTATTAGAATTCAAACCTCAACCCCTCCACCCACACCTCAACACATGGATGCCGATTGTCTCCATATCGCTGGCTGGGGGGATCGGTCATTCAAATTTTTTTTTATCGGAAATTTTTGTTTTTTTTCACCCCCTTTCATCCCTAGTCCTCTCTTCCCGCACACCAACTCACTCGTCTACCCACCCACCCACCCATCCACTCACGTCGGTGCGCTATCCTGCTGCCACAGCCGTCATTATACAACGTTGCATGCCGTCGCACCGCGCTATGTATACAACGTTGCACGCCGCCGCCGCGCCGCTATATGACCAAAATATTGATCGCCGGCCGGCCGGCTCTTTGGCCCGTCTCCCACGCCCCTTCGCTCCGACCGCGCGCGCCCGACTGAAATGTGCATCGATGCCCCGTCGCCGGGACCCACGCACTTGTCTGCCGGTTGAGCGTTCCCGCCGCCGCCGCCGCCGCTGCCACACTTGGATTGTGTGCTGCGCGAGTTCCCGACGACCCGACCGCGCGCGCCCGCCGATCAATAGCGGGCGCGTCCCACTACCCGGCGGCGTCCGACGACGCGACCCGATTATGCAGGCGAAGCGTTTTTTAAAATTTTTTTTCGTGCCGAATTTCCGGACGCGCCCGCGTAGATGATAATATCGCGTCGGAGAGGCCGCCCCGACCGAAGTAGGTAATAATAATATTATAATCGCAGCGGCACATTCGAAGACCTTGAACGATTAGCGACAACACGTCCATATATTTCGTTACCGTACCTATACGACGCTGCACATCACTTAAATGTCGCCTAGGTGCGGCTCGACGACCGACAGCTCACTTGCCGTGCGATTGCGATAAAAATAATATGTAGACACAATATTGTTGTACGCGTGAAAAATCATTTCACGTCATTGAAAAATAGTTGTTTCGGCCGTATGCATGCATGTGCACGCGTGTAATATGCATCCCGTCGCGTGGACAAGGAAGTCGTTCGGTGATTTGGCACTTTTGTTGTTGTTGTTGTTGTTGTTGTGTTTGATACTTATACTGGCATCGACGACAACACGCGAGACACGTTAATTGTTGCAAAACTACATATAACACACTCGTGTTATGTATCTCTGCCTTTCACTGCCGCCGTGCTTGTCGTTTGTGGGGTGCACAGACTTATTTATGCACATAATAGTATTCTCACACGTTTTGTGACGAGACCCGTTTGCACTGAAACACTAACAAGTCACAAACAACGATAACCCACATCCAGTAGAAACAAGTATTAACTATTAGATACTTGTGTATACAGGGTGTCCGGTATATCACCTGGTTGATATAAACCAAATAAGTAATAATGCAACAATATAATATAAGTTTAGTTTGGTGATGATAATCCAACGACGGACGTCACGGTTATAAACATTTTTCAGAGAAAAACACGTTTTGAAATATTAATTAGTTTTAAATTTCATAAATGAAGAAAATTCAAAATAGAAATAATTATTTTCGGAGTACTTAATAACAAAAGTTCTTACTAACAGTATTGTAATCAATTTATCGATCAATCTCAGGTTACACTCACCCGATTTTATATTTTAATATGATTAGACATAAAGTCGTATAATATAAAGGGCAAAGGGAAAAGTTATGTTAAGTATTTATTTTTTTTTTATGTGCAGGAACTCGGCTTAAATGCACCCTAGTGTATCTGTACTATTATTAATATTTTTTTATTAATGTACCTGGAATGTACGCAAGCTATTTAAAAAAAGGGTTAGTCAAACAAGTCGTCGTATAGTTGTGCGAGAATGAGTCGTCTTTCAGATAAAAAATGCGCAAAGTGGGTTGTAGTCGGTTTGGGAGAGTGTATTTTTGGTA